TTGGATTCAATTTCATCGTACCTGGAGAATAGACCAATGGGAGAACTCAATATTGTTAAAATACAGGATCAGCAAGCATGTGCCTGCATCACCATATCAACCTTTCTTTTTTTTTAGTGGGGAAAATTGTGTCATAAATCACCTTTCTTTGGACCAATTGACAGTGGGATCGTCCATTTTATTTACGACTACTAGTAGCTTAGAAACACCCAAGGTTTTTGCAAGCTGAACATGCTCACGGGTCTGACCACCTTTCTCATACCCAGTTTCAAACTCACCCTTCCGAGCGGAAATTACCTGTGAACAAGACAGAAAGAGAGATTAATAAATAATCAACAAAACAAATGACAATGTGAAAGTGATAACACGATCTTACCAGCACGCCTATATCAGCCTGGGATGCCCCACTGATCATGTTGGGGACATAACTTTTATGGCCCTAAAGAACAGAGAAGTTTGATAAAACACTATGAGAGAGAAAAATGAAGGGAAAATGACCATTTGCAAGTAAATGCCTACGAGAATGTGAAACATTCTCTGCATGCATAGCACAAGCCTAACACAATAATGCAATTGGTCCTTCTCTGCATATTCTTCACAAGAACAGGAAATTTGGCACAGGCATTTTATTAACTCCTTAATGTGTAATTAGCAGACAAACTGCAGATAATAAAGTCATAACAAGAAAGAACCATCGCACGGGAAACAAAGGACTTACTGGTGCATCAAGAATAGTAAATCTAGTGGTCTCTGTTTCAAAATGTGCTCTTCCAACCTCAACAGTTTTACCCTGCAGGAGCAATATATTTACAAAATTCAAAAACCAATCTGCAGAACCTTAGTCCTAAGCACATCTATAACTCTCAAGCAAATAAGAGGAACTTAATGAAACTCAGACCGCTATCATGTTACCTTAGCTCTTTCCTCCTCATTGGTATCCATAATATATGCCATGTACCTGATTCAGACCAAATGATCAATAAAGAATGGTTAAAAGCACCAATGTGCAATGTACAAGAAAGCGTTGCTATAGAAAACAGCTCCCACAAGAAACTGTCATTCACTATATCATAGCTAAGGAGAGTCAGCCATCTACTCATGCAAAATGTACCACTAGCTATTGAAAGAGCTAAGTGCGATACAATCACAATATCTATTATATTCATATTGTAAAAGCAATAAAGAAACCGCATGAATGATGATTATCAGATTCAAAAATCCAACAGAAGTCTCACCAACTTTCCCTGCTTTTATCCTTGGCTTCTTTCTCATACTTTTGTATAGTTCGATCATCAACCTGACCACTGAGAAACAGTATCTGTCCTCCAGCTGTTGATTTCCCAGCATCTGCAGCCAACAAGATTTTCAACCATTGATGAGTCAACAGAATCGATGAAAGACTCATAAAAACAGAACCAATCAGAAGCAGTAGACATGTAAATTTTTGCATCATTACAACCAGCAAATGAAAACAACATTTAAATGTCAAATTCATATGAGGTAGAAACTTAATCAAAGAGAAAGATAAGCAATCAAAATCAACCTACCCACATGGCCAATGAAAACAACATTCAAATGTCGTTTCGAGTCTTCTTCCATCTCATCCATTATATCAACTTCTTCCGGAACAGCTATTTCCTTACCTAATCCAAACAGCAAGATCAACAAATAAATTACTTAAACATGTGATAATGTGGAATTAAGAAATGGGCAGTCACATTATGGATGCATCACATAGGCCACAAAGAGTTTGAATGCATCACACCCATAAGACAAAAGAACCTCGTAATAGCACCTTTCGGCTCAACATGGACTGGATGAGAGTTTGTAGCTATCTCCTCCTTCCAACCTGTAAAAGACCATCCTGACTTACCATGAGAATATGGAAAGCAGTAGATAGGCATGTGTATTGCTTACTCCATATGAAAATCAGTTAATAGTTTCTTGCTTCTTGTTCCATTAGGTGATTTTTATTTTTTCTCCTTTTGAGTGAGAAGGGTGGGTGTGACATGAAGAAACATATTGACAACAAAGCAAAGCAAGAAACAGCTTTAGAGATAGCTAAGAACAACTTTGAGACATATCCAGAAACCTGTGGCCATAGCTAGAACCTACCAAACATCTGAATCTACTGAGCAATTTATTCAAATAGCAATCCTAATTGACAGTCACCGATAAGGCACACAGGGCATCCTAGCTTTCGCCGAAAAAACTCAAAATAACAACCAAAACAACAAAATATAACAACGAATATTTACAGAACTAGATGTCCCTAAAATGTACAAGTAGTACATCACAGGTATGCATAGTATGTGCGTAAATATGTTGAAGTGAGCATTTCATGGGTGTCGATGGACCACTCTGCCAATCAAAATCACGAATCCCTTTCATAGACCCAAAACGTGCATTACCTGCTGCAGTTTACAGGAACTTTTAACACATCGCCAAACTCACACAACACAAATGGGAAGAGCAACCAACACGAAAGTTCTCGCACTCAAGCGACTTATACATTTCAAATCCTTGTTAGATACACACGAAAGAAACACATTTTGCCAATTTATCACCAACCGTCATCAGTTTCATCCATCTTCTCCAACTCTTCTGGCTTTGCATCTTCAGGATTGATAGCCCCATTATAATCATCTGCTAAAATTGAAACCAAGTTCTCAAAATACATTCAGAGGCAATAACAAAACTGATGTTCAACCCATTATCCGCCACGTGAAAGATTGGTAAAAGAAAATGATGCTGAGAACATATGTAGTCAGTCTCAAAACGGTACCTGCTGATTCGAGCTGCAACGACCGAATGTCTTCCTCGAGATCTATCATATTGAAAAAAAATAAGAATGTTATGCTCAGGAACTCACGGAATTCAGCAGACGACTAACAGTCACATAGTCACATGAACATTCACTCGGTAACTTATCCTCAAGCATCACCAACGCACCACAAGAGCACAGCAAACCAAAGCAGAACATAGATTATATAAGACCCAAGGCCACATCATTGCTTTTTTCCCCGCATGTACCAGAAGTAGCTGCCACCCATTGCTCATGAAGAACCCCCCTTAAACTACGGCTTTACCGTAAAAGCTTTCGTACCCCGACTTGGTAATTACAACCCAAATAAACCCAGATGGGCAAATTCCACTCCGGGGGGGCCCGTCACCCCACGACCAAGGCAAGTTAAACCCTCAAGAAAGCCCCTACCCAGCAAGGCAAACGCGCCGAATCGACCAAGAACCGAATACCCACCAATCCACGACCCGAGTTCCGATCAAACAAAGAAACGGACGAGAAAAAGTTTCGGGATTCGACCCGGCGCAAATCAACACGGACAACCAGCGGAGGAGATCCCGAGAGACCCGCGAATTGATCGGAATGCGTCGAGGGAAGGGACGAGGGAGGCGTTGCGAGAACTTACCCATGTCGAGAAGAGATTCAACTGAAGCTGGCTAGAGAGAGAGAGAGAGAGAGAGAGAAGGAGGGGTGGGGTGTTAGGGCAGAGAGAAGGCAAGAGGAAGGGTGGGGAGGAGGAGAGGAGTGTGTAAGAGCAGAGATTCCTTGTTTGGTTCGTATTTATACGTGAGTCCCGTTCTGGGGGTGGTCTTCCGTTCTGCTCCCGGTTTCGCTTGTTTCTTTGACCCCAAGTAAGTTGAGCTGTCCTAGACCATTTAAAAAAAAGGAAAATTGAGCTGTAAAAAAATATATTCCCTTTTTTTATTTTTTTGAGAAAATCGCTATTCCAAATACCGATGTTAGGGAAATAGTGAGTATTAAAGTCGTGCCACGTCATACGTAAGATGAACCATTCAGCGAACGACATGCGTCAATGTCGGGTTTACCTATTAGAAATTTCAAAAGTCCCTACCAAAAAGTCCCTCTCAACTCACGGGCTTTGCTCTCTCTAGTCTGACGAATCACGCCGCCGCCGCCTCCGCCTCGTTTGTTGCCTCCGTCGTCCCTAGATTTGGTTCATCTAGAAGCTGTCGAAGTTCAATCGCTTCCGGCTCAGCGGCCATAAAAGGGCTAGGAAGCTCGTTAAAGTTTTGACAGGTGGGCCCGACATTGACACGCGTTGCTCACTGAATGGTTCATCTTAAATATGACATTGCCAACTGTTGTGCCCAATATTTTCTCCCGATGTTGCTGCAATGGTTCCACCTTCGACATGTGTTTTTTTTTCTTAAGTATTCCGACAGCGCTTCTAAATTAATGTTATGACTCGTTTTTATTCCGAAGACATCTTTCGAGCTTGAGTCCCATTGAAGAATCTTTGGATTGTCTAATACTTTCAACTCACAAAGGTTGCACACCAATATTTAAGTATCGCCTATAATAATATGATAGCATCGAAATGTAATATCACGTCTTGGGAAAAAACATTAGGATTGTATCAATGCTCGAAAGGGAAAAGGAATCTAGGAATTGTGAGTGCTCCCTTTATTTGCGCTTTTAAGTGGACGACTACGTTGGGAACATGGACCGAGTGAATGCAAAATGTGGGCGTTGGTTTGGACAGGGCTTCACTTGCTTGACCATCTACTTGCAACAGAACCACCCGAAACGGCCTATCACGATCGGTCAGTCCGTCGCATCCAACCGGCAAGAAGTCGAGTAATCTTCAAATAGCTTATTCTTCTACCGTCGTCGCCCCTCGAAAAATACTGTACTCTTCTTTGTCGACATCATGTTACTGGAGATAATATTGTGTACAATTCAGAGCGAGACCCACCTGTCAAAAAATTTAAGATTTCCTCTCTCTCTCTCTCTCTCAATACTTTGAACTCCCGTCCATGGCCACTGGATGGAGATCTCGAGTTTACCACCATGGCCGCCTGCGCTTTGACATCTTGCCGACATGGTGTCACTTGATGAGGAAAAAGTGCATTCTGTGCAGGAATTTCGGCATTCGGCGGTTCAGAACCTATTTCCGCGCTTAAGAACATTAAGATCACCATTAAAGTAAATCATTCTGTCCAACCTTCTCTGCAACTTTTAAAGCAAAGAACTTGATATGTATTCAAAATTCGATCGTCCAGACAAATGGAGGAAAAACTGGTACAAGAGATGATTAGAATACAGGCTAATTGTCTAATTTATACGATCCGGACAGATTAACCTATTTCCTCGATCCATCAATGGCATTTGGCAATACATCAGCAAGGAGAATCAGCTGCAGCATCAAGAGAGTTACTTGCGACTTTTCAAGATATACCGTCAAGTCAATACAAGTACAGGCTAACCCTACAAGAAAGGGTCAGGATTGTCAGTAGAGTAAATCGGTGCGACCCAGTGGCATAGTAAATGAAAATAGCCGAAGAGGGGCAGAAAAAGGAATCCCGAAACGCATGAAGATATTAACAGTAGCTTCACAATAGTCAGAATAGTCAGCAGGCTATACTTTCAGTGTCTTGGTCTCTAGGAAACAATGAAGGGATTGGAAAAGCTCATAGGTTCCCACTTGAATAATGAAACTGTCATATTATAACCACATAAACTGAGGGAGATTGTAAGTGAGCAGGCATACCTTTGTGATGTTAATGCAGAGAAGGACCATTCTCCATAGTGGTTTCCAACTTCCAACCCCTAAAGAGGTAACCAATAGTTAATTCCAAAGTATCCCAGAACCTATACCGGAAAATATGCGAAAAAGGCCATTACCTCTCTGCAGCTTCTCTATTTAGCTCTTCTAGCTCATTTTCGATATTAACACAAGCAGCCTGAATTTCTATATTTTTCTGACAGAGCTCCCTCCATTGTGTAGACAGAGCATTAAGCTCATATGCAGTATTTTGCTGTTAATAAAAGAATTTTCAGATCATTCACATGCAAAATTATGTGAATGAAAACATCAAGATACATATGGAAACTGCAAAGACAACATACCTGATGATATTTTCTTTCACGATTCACAGTCTCTATCTGTTCATTTTGTTCACTAGCTAACTTTTGCAGCCTGAAAAAGGAAGAAGTTCAACATAATAACCAGCTCATCACTTAGTAGTAGGAATCAAATATGATGGCAGCAATGATTGCAACTTATCAAATTGAAGAAAGAAAAAAATCATCTATGATGAGCCAGTCAGTCAATTATGTGAAAAAAAATCATCAGAAAAAGAATTGGTTGTCCCAATATATAAAATCTATAAGGTTTACACCAAATTAGGATAAGATGACACTCCATCAAAGAGGAAAAGTGCGATAGCATTGTTTGTTACGTAGTAAATACCATGTAAACAGGACATTTGATAAAGCAAGCTTGACGAACTATCATGATACCAACTATAACCATTGGATTTCAAATGAATTCAATGACTTCAAAATAGTACCTCAGACCTACCTGGCCAAGAATCCCTCCAACTGCCGGTTATGCTTAATCCAGACATCAGCACCATGTTTAGACATCAAATCAAGATTTTCCAGCCTGCAAACCAAGCAGTAAATTTAACTAGCGAAAAGGGACAAGTCAAACAGACCATGTCAAAAGCCGCAAATGCATAGAGCACTACATCTCCCATTGGCTATTCTCCAGCAAAGAACATAGCGAATCATGTGATACCTGACAACCTCGTACTGTAGCAAGCGCTGATTTTTTTGCAGTGTCTGCTTCCAGAGATTTTGATCATCCCTTCTATGTGGAGGTACCATATCGATACTGTACCGAGAGGAATCAAAAGGCACAGGGGGCCTTCCTGCCACCACACGCTCATACTCTCTAGCAAGCATAGGATTATTCTGCATTCAAGTTCTTTGATAAGTAGGTGCACAATCAATACAACTAAACAACTCTGCATTCCAAAATGAAATTTTTTTTTAAAGATGTCTTGATGTTGTTTTTTGTTTCAAATCTTAAAGCATCACCCTTTCCTGCTTTGTTTGAAAAGTAAGGAATCATTGCTTGTGCTGGAAACATGCCATCTACGAATTCACTGCAGCTTGTAGCTCAACTCAGTAAATTTTTACTTCTTTGAGATTCAGTCTGATTTTTTTTCAAGTGTGAGAAGACCAGAACTAATGAGCTCATAAGTCACTGGGGTTCATGAACCTCAGACATTGACCGACACTAGAGGCAACGAAAGAAAAGGGGAGCACGAAAGGGGCAAAGTGCGGGCATCTATAACTTTGGCAATTCAATTAATGCAGCATCAAGCATGTCTCGGTCACAGGATCACGGCTGCAGCAAGTGACCGCGAGGGGTTCGGAAAACGGATATCTGCTCCTAATTTTTCTCTCTTTACCAATCAAATTCAAGACGAAAAGAGTAATAAACGATCCCGCCAAGGTTGACCCTAAAGAGTTTCGCACATGGTATTGAGAATTTGTATCATTTTCTGTCACAGCTTCGCATCACAGCTATTCTCCGGAACTCGGCTCCTGTGCTCCACCGGATCTTGTAACGAGTCCTATGCCTAAAAGGTTCTTGAATTGCAGGATATCGACGGTCGCTAAGCTCGGTAAGCATTAGCAAAAGCTCTTCCGAATGCGGCTCTAGGCCACGCCCATAAGAGAAATCGATCGATTTCGCGCCTCTTAAACTCAACAAAGGGAAATGAACTAGCGAGATCTTTGTTCCCGATGGTGTTTCCGCGGAAGACAACCACTCATCTCATACATACAGAAGCCATAAACTTCTTCTACTCGAGAACGACACGGCACTGAAACTGAACTCCTTCGAGAAACCCTAACAAGCGAGGAGCGGGGATTTCACCTGGAACTTGAGCTTGGGGACCGGAGGCAGCTCCTTGAGGAAATCCGAGGGCTTCTTGGAGCTCCGCCGCATCTCCTCCTCGACCAGCCGGTCCACCTCGTCCTTGACGGCGCGGTGGCCGTAGTCCTCGTCGATGTAGGGCAGGGCGTCGATCGTCTCCGCGTTGGACGGGGTCGTCCACGGACGAGCGAGAGCGTCCGGCGGAGCTTCTAGCATGAGGATGTCGCCGTTGGCGGCGGCGGCGGCGGCGGCGGAGGAGGCGGAGGCGTCGCCGCTCCGACCCATTTGCACGGCGGCCGTTGTAGAGGGGAAGAAACAGAGCAAGCGCCGCTCTATTACGAATTGCGCGGCTGTTGGTTTTGACGCGCCCGTCTTTTTCTCCTTAAGACGAAAACCCCGATTTTTATTTTTATTTTTTTTATTTTTATTTGTATTTATCACCTTTCCTTCCTTTTCTTTTGCAATTAAGCCCAAAAGAAAAACCATACAAGTGCAATATGAAAAGAAAGGAAATAAAATTCCCCCTCTTTCTCTCTCTTTTTCTTTCTTTTGTTTCTCTCATGATCAAATCTTTAAGAAGATAAGTGCATTGGAAGTCCTAAAATTTATCCTAAAAGTGTAATTGAGTCTTAAAACTTTAAGAGTTAATATCACGAAAAACCCCAAACTGGTACACCTATGATAAATTTACCCAAAACTAATTTTTTGACCATCAAAAACCCCAAACTGGTATATTTGTGACAAATTTGTCTTCCGTGAAACTGGCTTGATATCATGAAAAATCATAAATTGATAAATCTGTAACAAACAGAGGGATAAAAACCCCAAACTGGTACAACCATCAACTGTCACGTATAATCTAATTTAGTAATTTAACAGTAAAATGTAACGGAAACTAACGGAGGGTAAATTTATCACAGATGTAGCAGTTTTGAGTTTTTTTTGGTGAAAAAATTAATTTAGAGTAAATTTATCACAGTTGTACCAGTTTGGGATATTTCATGGTATTAACCTAAACTTAAAAAAAAATGCAATTAAGTCTTAAAACTTATCAAATTGGTTCAATCAAGTCCCCATGTTAACTCCATCCAACTAGGCTAATGAAAAAATGATGATGTGTCTTATTTTATTACTTGACAATGTGACGATCATCAAGCGCCATGTCAAAAAAAATTAAAAAATTAAAAAATAAATACAAACAAAATTAAATTTTAAAAAAATTATGAAGCTACAAGTTTAAAAAAAAAAACACTACAAACTACAAAAAAAAAACTAACTAAATTAGAGCCCTTACCAGTGGCTACCGCTATCGTCGCCCATTGCTGGAAAGGGCCGACGAAGGTCGTCTAGGCCTGGCCGAAGCCACCACAAGCTTTGTTCCTCCTTTTTTTTTTTGTAATTGGTTTTTTTAAACAAAAATTATCCTTTGTTATTTATTTAATCTAATTTAAGTTCAAATTTGAAAAGAAAATAATAAAAATTGTCACGTAGGAAAAAGAAAATAATTTAAAAATACCACGTCAGCATTTTCCGCTTGTCAAGTTGGATAGAGTTAATGAAAAGACTTGATTACATCAATTTGACAAATTTTACAACTGTGATTACACTTTTTGAAAGTTTTAGACTCAATTGCACTTTCATAACAAGTTTTAATACTTCCGGTGCACTTATATTAATCTTTATGTATATTTTCACCAAAAAAATTTGAAAGTGTAAATTTTGAAGAACCACCCTTCATCGAATCAGTATATAAGTTATCCCATTGTTTTAGAGTATTGGTGATTACCTATTATATAGGAGGACAAGGTTGAAGATAGCTTGATTTAGGTATGGTTCAAATAAGGAAATAAAACCCAAATAAAAGAATTTATTTTGGCATTTTTCCATGACCAAGATGAATCGTTTTGTAAGATGAAACTGGGTCACACTGGAAAGAGAGTGAATTATGTCACACAAATCACAATTTAGCACCCCATTTGCAAAAGAATTCACTCCACAAAAAGAGCCTCCAGAATTTAAATGCTATTACATATAGATGATGCTCATGCTTAAGATATAATTTACCAAAAAGACACAAGAAATCTTGATCCCTTAGAACATAATTATTTCCATAAGAAAAATGAAAAGAGTCAGGAAGCCTCAAGGTTTTCTGAAACCATTTCTGGACAATTGGGTATACATAAGAATGACAGAATTGGCAACTTTGATCAAAGTTTACCTCCACCACCAAATTTCATCTTAGGAAGAGTCAGCACCGCAACATCAGTACATCTGATTGCACAATCTACCAGTTCAATATGCTGGACAACATAAGTACTTGAGAAAAAGAATCACATGAATGATGCACCCAACCAACACTCATCTTTCCTCATTATTCCTCTCGAAAGTGTCCAAAACCTAACCAAAAAAATTACCAAACCTAGCTCCTTTCGAGTTTTTCTTTTCTTTTTACATAACAAGTGTCCATTTCGTGGATGAATTTAAACTACAGACTATGCCCGCTTGCATTTCTATGAATTCGGCATATTTGTGTATAGAAGAGTGAAGAAGAGTTCAACATCCGGAGAGTCCCTAATTATCTGGATGAAACGGTTCTTGCTTGGTTCTTCGAGAAGGAGAGACCCCATCTGCGCCACTCGAGGTAAGAGTTTAGCTAGTGGTATCCCTGACGTCGCACTGCTTCCTCCGGCTTGAAGTCCAAATTCCTCGACCAGTGCATGCGCAACCATTTTCAACGATACATCAACTACACGCCCGAATTCGGTACTGCAGGAAAATTCAGGAAATCAATCCAAAAATGATGAGGTCGTAGTATACTTTGCTCAACAGAAGTCCAAGTCCAAAGATAGTAAACCAACTACTCAATGAATTTGAACACTGAGTTACATTACAGAATAGTTTTAATGCACCCTTTCATCAAGATATTAAACATAATAGCATGACCTATCCCTAAAGAGGTCTACAACGAACCATCATTGAACTTGCTAAGCTTGAACTACTCTAAATGCAAGGCCATTTAGCATCAAACTAATGAAAGAGAACATTGTCAAAGAGAGCATTTTCTAAGTGAAATCACTTATGAAACTGCAATACAATAAGTTGTGAATGGTCACCGCTCATATTCTAAGTATGGACAGACAAACCTTGATATCACAGTTTGAGCCTCCACCATTAGCTGGTCAAACTTGGTAAAGTCAGGGACTATTGTATCCTCATTGCCGGAAGTGTTACTGATATTATACAATCTAGCGTCCTCAGGCATCAAATAGCCCACCCACTGATGGGGGCTTCCCATGATCATGAAGGTGTCGAGTATTTGTATAATTGTTTCATGCAGCGCCGCGTTGTCAAAGAAATCTCTCAATTGCTTCCTGCAAGTGACTTCCAAATACTCCATTAAGAAAGCAAGATCGAGCAAATCTCCGAAGAAACATGCTGGAGCTACATTTTCGTGAAATTTCTAAGCATACCCTATAAGCACAAAGTTAGCCTCAGAGAGAAATCATGTCAAAATAGCTCATCAAAGGGCCCAGTGGCTGTATCCCACAAAACACCACCAGTACCTCCACAGCCTCCAGTCGTCCGCACAAAACCCACATTGGCCAGGCACCAAAAAAATGCCATAAGCGCTCTGAGGTGAGACCCAATGGCCAAAAACGAAATTAAAAGGAGGCTCACACACTCCCTCATAGAGACGGACATGTTGATGCAGGTGACAAAGAGCCTTACCCTTTGAGAACTTCACTGGCTGCTGCCTGCAAATTATATATCAAGGCTGGCATGCCATGATTAGAGAGAAAATCAGCGCTTGCAAGGAACTTCTGCTGGTCCTCCATGTCAATGAGATCAGCATCGTCCTGTCATGAACAATGTTAACAAACAGGATTGACTTGAACTGAGGACCGGTGCCTTATACATGTGAATAGTCAGGCAAGGGATAGAAGTACACTATGTGAAAAGCAGCAACTTCGGATTGAACACAGTAACTTTAGAAGTATCTGCTCCAAACAACTACAACAACAACAGGCCGCATCCCACCAAGTGTGGTCAGATGAATAAAACCTCTTATGTATAGTGCTCTGTTTTGTGTAAAATTGTCACAAAGCTAAAAATACGACATCACTAAAATCAGAAATGAATGCTCTATCTTCATTTAACTGTTCAGGTTCTGCTTTCAGATAAATACTAAGCCGGCTCTCTAATTGAGTGTAGAAGTCCAGAGATTGTCAACGCACCTCACACTTTATATCAAGATAGAGATATGGAAGAGCATTTGAACTTTGAATAGCTGTAGTTCCATATATCATCAATATACAGACACTAGTAACATGTTACTAAAAGGCAAATAAAAAGTTAATAATGGACCCTTCTGGTTATGGCATCTAGCAATTACGAACATTCTATGGACCTTACTGATAGCATACTGCATGTGCCATAGTTACGTCTAACATCTCAGCATGCTTATGTTTAACTCGAATATCTACTTAAAGTAGGAGGACGAGGAGCAGGAGAAATCCAAAGCATACATGATCCAAAGGAAATTAGACCTGTGTCAAGATATAGACTGATCTCCTAGCTAAGATCATAAAGGGTAAACAAGTACAACGAAATTGCAAATATTTAATTGTCTAACTAGCCAGAGCATTCTTGCTATGAGGAGAGGTTTACAGAAGGTGATGATGAAGCCTACATCTATGCAGGGAGAAAGGCCTACAAATCAAATGCAAAAGCTCATATTACAAAATAAATCAACAGTTTAAGGTAAGAAGATTCTGAAGGAGCAATTTTGATGCTTTAGTTTTAAAGTAACAAGATCATAAAATGATTGTAATGCGTGAAACGCAACAATATGGGTAAAAGTTGCCTTAATGATCCTGATATGACAACATATGCCAAATTATCTCCAAGCATCTCTTTAGTCCCTACCTAGCTTCTGCTTGGTTTGCAATTCCTAAATCTTCAAACTATATACTAGATCATTTTGTCTAACATCTGTCTATAAATGTGGTCTATAGCACAATAACCTTCCATTTTCATGTTCTACATGATAGGATCCACAATTGCTTAGAGTAATACAAGTGGAGACAGCCAAAACAGAATAGAAATAGATCAACAGGATTGTTCATTTAGGTACTGATAACCAGTGATTTGAAAATGTGCGTTCGCTTGGTACTCATAAGGCCAAGAAAAGTATTAACTGCATATCCATGAGGACGAGGTAATGCAACAGAAGATAAGTTGATATCTGAAAAAAACACCAATCCAATGAAATCTTGAAAACATGCTTGAAACTCCGTGAGAGCACCTTAAAGCAAGTGTTAGACAACTATGACAAGAAAAGTACTTGAATTTTTACCCGACCCGATTACTCAACAGAAAGATGCATCGGACGATATGCTTAAAAGAAATTAATATGGAAGAGGCTCTTACGAGTAATTGAGAGCTTCCAAGGCCCCGAGCAGTGTCAAGATACAAATGTCTCCCCAGGATATTGACTTGAACTCTGATGTACAAGCTGAGTATTGTCATTGCCCAAAGTGAGACCAACATTCTGGTAAAACCTGGAGGAAACAATTAACAAGGAGAAGTGAAATACTGCTATGAAGTAGACTGGTACGTCAAAGGATTACAGTATCACCTAAGATAGCACACTCATAAGATGTTACAGCCCAATGGCACATAGGGAAAGCAATAAAAAGAGCACAAACTCATACTCAGAATTTTCAGTTGATGCCACAATTCAAGTTTCTCTGCAGACGTCAACGTGTTGGGTTGGCCCTTTCCTCTCATTAACCTTTCTGTAAAGTGCGTCAAGTCCAACTCTTCCGCTATCCGGCTACTTAAATAGTGCATTGAATGAGGCATGGTAGTTGTATTGGCTATTCTTTGGATATTCTGGAAATGGGTTTGCATACTGTCATCAAAATTCAGAAACCATAGCATGAGACCATATCATTAGCCGCAGTAACAGTCCACAGCAGTTGCATTAAGAAAAACAACAGATGGGAAGCTAAATCCTCTTAACTGAGCCTTGACGAGTTCCTCATTTTCGCGCTCACCGGCCAACACCTTTTCAAGATCCAAAAGCTGCTTCTTACGAGCATCATAAAGCCTATACAGAAAGTATCCACCACCTAAAATGCCAGCACCAAACAAAATCTTTCTCCGATGCCTCCGCCAAAAATCCCTGTGTTCACACAAGCTTGAAGATAAATCAACCGGCCTTCGAACTTTTCTTGTTCTTATCAACAGAAACAGAAAGTGCTACACAATCTCACCATGATGTGGATAAAACCCAGAAACTCAGTCAAGAAAAAATATCAAACAGAAGTAACAGTTCGGCTAGATATCAACCAAACATGAACAAATGCAAGTGCCCATATGGCAAACGCCCGTTTTTCAGGCAAGAAAGCAGCATAACGACACCGCAGCCTCACAAATACAGCGTACACACCGACTGACCTCAAAGAAATCATCTTCTCTGGTGCTTATGGAGACCAGAAATCCATGCCAGCCCTCGTTGGAGATTCCGGAAGCGCCACACGCGCGATGGCTCGAAGATTCAAGAAAAGGGGCTTCTGGGCACTGGGCGTTTGAGGAAGAGCTCCTGCAGAATCTTTGATTGGCGGGGAGTGTAGATTTCCAAAGGGGGTTTGTACCCTTTCGAGGTCTCCCTCTGCCAGCCCAAGATTCCCACTCCGGAGAGCACACGGATTCGCAAGAGTCGAGATGGGGTAGAGCTAAAAGATGAAGACGGAACCGTCCACCAGGCAAAATCGAAGCAGAAACCTAAAGATGGGGTTCCAACAAGAACATGAAAAGTTGTGCCTTCCAATGTCGATTCCAAGAATCTGACCAAACAAAAAATTGTCGATTCGAAGAAGAGAATAATTTGTAGACACAAGAAAACCCAAGTAAAAAAATTATTTCGGCTTCCATATGCAATTTTCTTATCGCTCTCTTGATATGTTCTCAGGAAAATTCCAAACAAAAACCTGAATTATCTTGTTTTTTAAAATAAAAGGTCTGAAATGGATCTTATTTAAAAAATGGCCTGAAGTAGCTATGGCAATTTTAAATAAAAGCTTGAAATGGCCGTGACAGTATCAAATAAGAGTCTAACCTCGCCAAGGACATTTTTCGTTTAAAGACAATTTTAACTTAAATTTTAATTAAATTATATTAAAAATTAAGAAAACTAAATTTTCTTTCAAAAGGAAAAAGAAACGCGAGTAGGGGGGCTGCTTGGGGCCGCCAACCCATTGCCAGTAGGGCGTTGGGCATAGCTGGCGGGGTCGCCGGCAACTCTTGTCAGAACCGGGCGAGGGCCTAGATCTAAGCGAGGGTCGCCATCCCTCGCCTCTAGTTGACGAGGGTCGTCGGCCCTCGCCGAGGCATCGATGCCCCATTGGCAATGAGGCAGCCGAGGGCCTTGGTTTTTTCTTTCTTTGTATATTTTTTTTAAGTTTTAGCATTTTTTATTTTTTGAGTTTGCCTTTTTTATAGAAAAATTTTGGATTTTTAACCTAATTTAATTAAGATTTTGTGTAAAAATTAGGATTCGGATCAAAACGATGTCGTTTTAGTGCTTTAGTTAACCTTAACACCACATAAGATGCCACGTGAGAGAAATAAAATATTAAAAAAAATCACGTCAATATTTTCCTTTAGTCAAATTGAATAGAGTCAGTAGAAAGACCCGATTTTTACACAAAAATCGAGTCTTTGAGCTTGGGCTTACAAGCCCTTGTTGGCTTTGCTCGAAGTCGGCGAGGGTCGCCCAGGCGAAGCTAGCTCTCGCCTGTGGCTTTCAAAGGCGACCTCGCCCCACCCTCTCCGGGTATCGCTAATGGCCGGCCATCGCTTAAGGCCGGCCATCGCTTAAGACTGGCCATCGGCGAAAAGGAAAAAAAAACAGAAAAAGAAAAAAAGAGAAAAAATCTAAAAATATAGGATAAAAATGCCCTCAACTAGCCGATGAAATTAAGCCCTTCTTTAAGAATGACATGGCCACTTCAAGCCCTTATTTGAAATAAAATCAACTTCAGGCTCTTATTTAAGGAAATGAGGGCATTTCATACATTTATTTGTAAATAAGGTCCACTCTAGGTCCTTATTTGAGAAAATGAGAGTATTTTAGGCCTTTATTTGGAATTTTTCCTATGATATTTACAAAGAAAAAAAGATTTTGTAAAATCCAGTGATAATTTGTGAAGGTACCTACGTCATTCATTAGATTTAATGAAAAAATGTTCGATTTTTAAGATGATAATTATGTATGTCACAAAGTTAATGCATTGAAAAATACATTATTTAATATATTAAAAAGTGTGGTGCATTAGATAATATTTCTGTTAACCGCACAAAATTTTATTTCCGGAATTGAAAAAGAACAGAAATGCTTTTAGTATGATTTTAAAAAAAAATTATTCCTAATTTTTTTCATTTAATTATAAAAATATCAGTGGAGACTAAATAATTTATATTTGGATAAAATGGGATTTATCCAATGACTTAACTGATCAAGATATTCTAAGATGGCCTCGGAAAATCCAACGTAATAGTTAATTAATGATGAATGGATGGAAACGGCAGCAACGAGTTTCACTGATTTATAATTCACAATTATGATGAGGTCGACGGTAAATCTTTGGGCATCACACTAAATAGGTGCATACACCTTTTGAGCCTTTTTAGCTGCAAGAAGAAGAGCAAACGTTGCCTGGTGAAATGGGTAAGGACCAAAGAACCGAGGATGGAGGCAATCCTAAAGTTGGTGCGCTCATTTGCACGAACTCATCGAACTTTCAAGTAAGTGACATCGGAAATCCATGGAGCACAAGCTTATTCGACTGCTATGAACACGAGACAAATGGTAATGGCGTTAACCGATTACAATTAGTAAAGTCCAGACAAATGTCGTAAACTCTAGCATATGTCTTCAATAACTTGATTTATCTGGTGAAAGTTTTTGAAGAAGATAACTTCTCTAATATTTTTTTAAGCACCGCAACATTCACGTCCCAATTATAATTGATTATATAAAGTTCTTGAAAGAGGAAGGTGGAATTAGAATCCTACATCCTTGCTTTTTAAATTTAAAAATATATATTGTCATTGGCTCATTACGAGAGAGTGGCATGGCCTAAGAATAGAATTATAATATATTATGATATAGAATTGGATGATCTTAATACGATTAATAGAAATGTTGCTAAGTATTTAAAAATAACATTACATAAGTCACGTAGGAATTACACGCAATACTGCATCAAATTGAATAGGAAAATATTTTTCCGTCGTTTGGTATAGAAAATATGATTTGATTATCTTGGAGAAAATTATCAAAAAATTAGAAATTTTTTAGTGTTTGGCTAAAACTTGAAAATGAATAGGAAAATATTTTTCCATCATTTGGTATGGAAAATATGATTTGATTATCCTAGAGAAAATTATCAAAAAATTAGAAATTTTAATTATTTTTCTTTTTCTTTTATTTTTTTTCTTTTTCTTACTTCCTTCTTGCTCGGCTTGTCGCCAGCTACGGCGATGGCCGGCAACCAGCCACAAGTAAGGGACGAGCTTGCCCAAGGTCGGCGAGACTTGACATCGCCAGATCTGATGAGAAAATCGTTGCTCACAAGACTCTTCCCTCTCCTAAACCCTAACTCATCGCCGCCCTCCCTCGGCAATCTAGAACACGTCATCCTCGAACACCAGCATCTCCTCCTCCTCGCTCCCCCCCAACATGTCCTCCAACCTTTTCGCTCCCACTGCCATCCTAATCCTCTCCGGAGTCATCTTCCTCCGCCCTCCCTCATAGATGGAGCTCTTGAGCGTCTCGAGGTCATGGCGGCAAGTGAAGCCATTGCCGAAGAAGGCCTTGTAGGAGTGAGGCTGGACCTAGGGTTTTGGGATCAGGGGAGGTAGGAGGGGAGGATCGGCAATCTTTTCAGAGAATCGAAGTTGCTGTCTTTCTATTGACTAAAAAAGTTTTCCTTCACTAGTTTATTTTTTGTGAATCAAACGCCAAAAAATTCGGAAATTTTTTTCTTGAAAGTTATATTCCATGAAACAAACGGGACCTAAGATTTAAGTTTGAATCGATCATAATAGGTCTAGTGACACCTGAGCTCATCTATGCCTGTTTGTGCTAAGACAAATTTGAGTAGGGGTGAGCATGATGGACCGCCCAAACCGGGATCGGACCGGACCTGCCGGTTTGGTCCAGTTCTCGAGAGTATCGGTCCGGTTCCCGGTTCCTAAAAGTGGAACCGATTTTCGGGCGGTCCGGTTCCCGGTTCTAGGGTGGGAACCGGACCGGACTGGACCGAACCGATAAATATATATTTACTTTTTAAATTTTTTGAAGAAAAAAAGAAAGCCTAATCTATTCCCTCTTGCCTTTACCAATTTTTTTAAGGATTGGTTCCATTGGAAAATTGAATTGGTTCCATTGGAACGTGATTGGTTCCATTTGAAAATAGAAAAATAAATACATTTATTTAAAATAGAAAGCCTAATTTAAAAGTACGTGATCGGTTCCATTGGAACTGGACCGGACCATCGGTCCGGTCCGGTCCACGGTCCTAGGACTAGCCGGTCCAGTCCTCGGTCATAGAAAATGGGAACCGGTCCTCCCGGTCCGGTTCCTGGTTCTTGGGTGGGACCGGACCGAACCGGGAACCGCTCACCCCTAAATTTGAGCGAATCTATATAAGGGCATTTAGCTATAAAAGCACCAACTAACTCGAACCAAGCTTTTCGCAATGTGAAAAAATGGCGTGCACTCTTTGCCAACAAAGCGAGCCTACATAACACCTAATTCAAGGGCACGATCCCCGGCCTTGGACGCACCCATTAATCATCTCTACTTTAAAAGCCGGGGGAACGCGCATCGCAACAGCTTACATCCACGCGTCAGCAGTCCACAGCTCTTTCTCTCGGCACGGAACATAGCCCAGTGCCCAGAAAGCACGAGCCGACGCCCCCCCGGCGGCATGGCTCGACCCTTAGACCTTATCCCAGGGTCAATTTTACTCAAATCCCGATCCCCCTAAGAACCAAACCCCACTTAAAAACCATTAATCATGTGAGCCTTGCGCGTGCATCTCGAACAGTAAAAACGGGACCCGGCGGTGACACCGGGCCCGCGGACCGGGTTCGGGCAAGAGTTTCTCCTATTCCAATCAACACCACCACCACCACCACCACCACCACCATCATCCCCCCTAAACTCCATCCCCCAAAACCCTAACCGGGGAGGGGTATATAAAGCTCAATCTCAAAGCACTCATCCTCGCGCCTCCCCCACACGCACTCACAGACACTCTTGCCTCCTCCTTCCTTCCTTCCTTCCTTCCTTCTCCGAAGAGAGAAGAAGAGCGACCGGCGGTCGAAAGCGCAGGAGAAACCCTAGGGAGATGGCGGAGGGGCTGCACCTGAAGGGGACGATGAGGGCCCACACCGACATGGTGACGGCCATCGCCGTCCCGACCGACAACTCCGAGATGATCGTCACCTCCTCCCGCGACAAGTCCATCATCCTGTGGCACCTCACCAAGGAGGACAAGGTCTACGGCGTCCCCCGCCGCCGCCTCACCGGCCACTCCCACTTCGTCCAGGACGTCGTCCTCTCCTCCGACGGCCAGTTCGCCCTCTCCGGCTCCTGGGACGGCGAGCTCCGCCTCTGGGACCTCGCCGCCGGCGTCTCCGCCCGCAGGTGATCGTTTCTCTTTCTTGCCCTTCGCTTTTGGAAGTCTCGCAGCATTCTGCCTATGGCGTTTCACGTGTGCGCGATGGGTTTTGGTTTGTTCTATTGGTAGATCTGTGCTCGACCCATGGACGGTCTGAGTAATCTGTCCTCTGGTTCGGGCGTGTCTGGTTGCTTCACTTTCGGGAATGGTGAAAGTTACGTGATTTGCCAATGTTGAAATAGCGAGGGCGTAGCATTTGTTCTGGAACTGTTGTTGAGCGCTAGTCTATTTTGGCTTGAGTAGTCTTATTGCCATAACGAAGAAATTGTTGTCATGGTATTCTAGTGCCAGGTGATTCTCTTCAAGTTCAGTACTTTTTCTCTTTTCAGTTTGATGGGTTTATTCTTTTTAGATAGGGATTGTACTTCGCAGATCTTCACTGATGGTGCGGAGAGTGCAGATTCAGATTCATACTACTGAGTTCTGTTTGGCTAAGTAGCTTTGCTCACACTAATTTTGGGAATTCTTGGACTCTGTGAAATTGACTTAGTTTTTTGATCCCTGAGTTGTAAGTGCTGTCCTGAATCCTGATTGAATGACTAAGAGCATAACTGGGTTCTATTTGATTCTGCTGTAGGTTCGTGGGCCACACTAAGGACGTGCTCTCGGTGGCCTTCTCTATCGACAACCGGCAGATTGTATCAGCATCTCGTGACCGCACGATCAAGCTCTGGAACACTCTGGGGGAGTGCAAGTACACCATTCAGGAAGGTGAAGCTCATAACGATTGGGTGAGTTGCGTCAGGTTCAGTCCCAACATCCATCAGCCGACCATCGTGTCTGCGTCGTGGGACCGCACTGTGAAAGTGTGGAATTTGACCAACTGCAAGCTGAGGAACACCCTGCATGGGCATTCTGGCTACGTGAATACTGTGGCTGTGTCTCCCGATGGGTCACTTTGCGCTAGCGGTGGCAAGGATGGAGTGATATTGCTCTGGGACTTGGCAGAAGGGAAGAAGCTGTACTCGCTGGAGGCTGGTGCCATTATTCATTCACTTTGCTTCAGTCCGAATAGGTATTGGCTCTGTGCAGCCACAGAGAACAGCATTAAGATCTGGGATCTAGAGAGCAAGAGCATTGTGGAGGACTTGAGGGTTGATTTGAAGAACGAAGCTGATCTAAGTGATGAAACTACAGGGGCTATGAGCTCAACTAAGAAGGTAGATTTTTCTACAGGCTATGCTTTGATATTTGTTATCTCCATCCTCCAGCAATATTATCGCTTGATACAGTGTACATCCATGTTTCCTATTTACCTTATATTGGGGACTGGTTCTTCCGTTTCTTTACTCTGGTGATACTTTGTGTGGAAATATGTGGTGGAAGCACATTCGAAAGATGTGAATACAGAGGTAGTTGGTCTGTAACATTGATACGCTGTATGCTCTATGCTGCTTAATCATATTTTTGCAAGGTTTATGCACTGTGTGCTAGGCATGACCAACTGCATCTCGATAGTACTCAATAGCACACATCTTTCCTACAACGCCAAATTAGAAATCAGTTCATTGGTCACTCTTCTTGACTTTGTACGCCGGAATAGGTTAGATGAACTCCTGTAAATCTGTTGTTTTTGTGTAGCTCAGATGCCTTATGGTCATACATTCTTGATTGAGAATACTTTGCTGCATAATTGGCATTCCTGCGTAAGGGAATTCTTTGATGCTACTTCCTCTGCTTACTTGAATACCTGCCTAAGTTGATCATTTATTGGAAAAAAGCAAAAGACTGGTTGAATGGCCAGTACCCATATCGTGAGTGACCAATGCATGCTGACTACAATAAGCACCGCACCATTATCGAACTGTATAACTGTGCTTGCCTGCTATTATTTCTTCGTAGGAGGCATGAATTTTTTGGTATCAATAGGAACGCTAATCATTGGATAATATTGCAGGTCATCTACTGCACGAGCTTGAACTGGAGCTTTGATGGAAGTACCTTGTTCAGTGGTTACAACGATGGCGTGATCAGAGTCTGGGGAATCGGGCGTTACTAGGAAATTTTTGACGATCACTACTGCTGAACCGTTTTTCAAAGATTTCGTTCGTCGTCTGTTTTTTTAGTGGTTTAAAAGAACCTTTTAGGATCTTGTTTAAGATATGATGCTTGAAGCAATATGCCTGCCTCTACTCTTATGTTCAGTTGGAGAAGATTTGGCCTCTGGGCGGTCTTATTTTTTTGAGAACAGAGATATAATACCTGGTTTTACGGCAAATTCAGTTCATGTTGTCTTCTAAAGGATTTATGTTAGGGCTGCCGGCGTTGAAGGCTGATTGAGCTCTCCTCCTCTCTACCACCAATCTGATGGTAGATCCGATATTTCGTATGACTGTTACGTCTCATGATAGTGACACGCAGCGTAACATGTCCAAATTTTAGCCCGGCATAAGATGACAAGCATATAACATGAGTAGAGTGATTAATTGGTTGCATCACGTCGGCCGTGTGAGTGATAATTTAGGTACTTTTCCCTCGCGAAGAGGAAGTGATTTCTCGGACTTTAGGAGCATATATAATTGCATTTTTTTGATATTTTTTCATGAATTGGAATGGCTCTTTGGCTGATACGAGGGATGTGGCCATAAGGCATTTGAGTGATATTAAGAAGCCATCTCATGAAGGCATCGGGTAGGTAGGCGATACATAATCTAAATAGATTACATTTGTTTCGCAAAAAATGAATAATTTAAAAAATATTTTCCTAAAAATAATTATTTGTATCATTTTAAAAAATGAATGAATGTTAAGATATAGATTGTTGTCTATAACGAGAATATTTTTTTACTTATCAAATATTCTGAGCGATATAAATAATTTTTTTTTAAAAATAATTTTCAAATCATTCATTTTCACGAAACAAACAGAAACTCCATTAAGATCTTCTTGTGTAACGCTCGTTGATACCCCGTTTTGTCACAGCTGATGATTCTGACCGTCTTAATTTTAAATCCAAGGTTGACATGAGCTCACAAAGAGAGAGAGAGATAGAGGGACATGGCACCCGTCGTGTGGGAGCCAAGTTGCTGCTAGTGCCTGGCGGCAACGGGGAGAGCGAGAGCGAGGCCGTGGAGAGGAGCTGAAGAGAGGGAAGAGGAGATGCTCAGAGCTTAGCCCAGAAATATGTCGGGGGTACATACATGACTTTCTGCTTTAAAGATGAAGCAAATGAGTTGGTCCAATTTCCTTTCGAATTCCCAAATTTCCTCCGCCCAAAATATCACCACAGTCCACAGGTTTACATCACCAAAGTGCATTAGACGTTTCAGTTCGGCAATTGTTCTCTGCATCGTCTTTGGACCGCTTAGAAAAATAAGAATCAAAACCTACGTGAAGCGAATAAAATAGAAAAGCTAATAGCGCGGCTCTAATCATAAACATGAATTCGAGACCAAGCTAGATGCGAGCCGACTAATTAACCCACGCTGTTCACGAAACAAAAAGTGCCGCCTATATATATATTTCTCGAGACACATATATTATATGTATGTACATTTCGCACGGGTTGCCCCGACCAAAACCGAGAGGCTATCGCACAAAATTGCCGATTCTCTCGCATATGGAGGAGATTCATTAAGATCCCAATGCCTGGAATGGTTTCAGCAATAACCTCATGCTCTCTAACACATCACTCGATCACTGCACTTTCACTATTACAAAAAATACGAGACTCAGACAAATTTAAGATCTGTCGAGAATCTCATAGGCACATACCTGCACTCAGGAACGCGCACACCCGAAGTTAGCGGATCTGACCCTTTCACCTAGAATCCCGGCCTTGATGGTTTTGATATCCTTATGATACAGCATACTGGAGACTTTGCATCTGTCTGCTCATAATTCTGAATCGATGACGAGTGCGGACTCCTGCTTCAGCTTGTAAACTCAAGATCTATTCTTCATAGACTTGTCACGTAAAAAGCACGCCAAAGTGATGTCATCATCCTCACGGTCGAAGGCCAGATCATTCCTCGCCTTTTCTCTGGTGGGTCCCCCTGATAAGGCATTCCTGTCGTTGAGATCTAGCGGATTAGGTTCCTCGCCCATACATACAACATTAGGGGGCATTTGATCTACATCAGATGGCATGCCATTTCCTTCGCTCGATGTAAGAACGTCTTTCGTCTTCTGTTTCTTGATAAGCAAGCTAGCAAGTGTGATGTCGCCATCATCTGTATCTGGAGCATGCTGGGAAACGGATTCATTCCCAGTCATTAGCTGTTCACGCCCATCTTTCTCACAAGAAATTAATGCTGATCGTGACCTGTCGAGTTTCTCTTCCAAAGCAGGAACACATTCAGAATTAGAGTGGCATCTTTCAGGAGGACCAACATTTCTCTTTCGTCTTTTATACGTCTTATAATTTCCATTTTCCTCTGAAGCAATCAATTCCACAGAGACATCTTCCACCACTTCATCATGGTTCACGTGAGAATGGCCATCTTTTCTTGTCTTCTTGGGTCTCAAATTCTTCTGAGCACTACAAGGAGCAATATTTACCAAATCCACAAATTAGACTAAGATGCGTAGTGAGAGGAGTTACCAAAGACATATGTAGAGAGAGCCAGTCCCTACTTAAGTGGAACTAAGTCAAGAAGATTTACCGAGAAAGGATATTCTTCTCCTTTTCTGTCATATTAGACGTGTCGTGTGCTTCAATGTTTTTGCCCTTTATTGTCAATGATGATGATGAATCTGGCCGAGATGATCGCTGATCATTTGAGTGTTCATTATGGTCGTCCTTTCTTAGACGTGCATTTGATAACTTTCTCTTCTTGCGAACAGTATTATCTCTAGTCAGTCTCTCATTCTCATTGCAACTAATTATTTCCACAGCTTGCTCCAAATCAAGTTGACTGTCAACTCTTGGTCTCTTCTTCCCTACTCCCTGGTCACTGCATAAAGAAAGGACGAGTCAATCCACAGTTACAGCGAGAAAAACTATAGATACTGACAAAGAAAAAAAGGTACTCCAGAAATTTTGGCAATGTCTATTTTGTATGATCATTTTTCTCTATGAACCGCACTTTGAATGAACAAAAGATCCATAATTACCAAGTAACAATTTTCTGTTTTCGTCTAAAATCAGACACCCCTTGCACTTGACGATTTTCACCGTTGGCCATGACTAGCGACGTCAGATCCAGCTGACATGATGAATGATCGGTTGCATGTCCATTTGGTCTACCCCCATTTAAATGCAGTTTTGTGACCTTCTTGTTCCTTAAAAGTGAACCGTGTTTTGCCACTGTCTCATCATTGTTGCAACTGGCCTTTTCCACAACTAGACCAGAGTTAAATTGGGGTTTCTTGGGATCCACCTTCTTCTGAACACTGCAGGGAGAGGATACATAAAACCAAAAGTTAGATAAAGAAGAACAACTGTGATGTTCAATGGACACATGTGCAATAGGGTGCACACATGTATTGCTCACATAGATATATGGTTGTCAAGTTAAATATCCGTTTTGAGGAAATGAAAAACAAAAAATTTACCGAGGAGAGCTTTTCCCTTGTTCTGCTATGCCAGAAAGACCATTCACTTCCCTGATTTCACCATTCGATACCACTGATGTTGTTGAAACGGGCTGTGACGTATGATCTTTATGTTGCTTTCGACGCCTACTCTTTCCTGAGCATGGTTTTGTCACTCGTGTCTTCTTTGAGGAGCCATTCTCAGCCAATTCATCATAATCAACCTCATTGCAACTACTTCTTGACACTTGCACAGCATTTGATTGATTTGCTTTTCTTTTCCTCCTGGACCCCACCTCCACTAAAACACTGCAGGGAGGAGAAAATAACAGACTAAAACTAAGAATACTGACTTTGACAAGGGACGTTCAGTTTTATCTTCAAGAGAATGAGGCCGACAAAAACTTTTCAAAGAATAAAAAGATTTTGTCTTGCAGTTGTCTCTGGGATGCAATGAAGGCCAACTTAGAAAATGGTCATCCAATTACCTCAATCCTGTCTTCTGTTTCATTGAGGGATTTAGAGAATCTGGGTCAGATACACAACTCGTCATGGGTAGTGGGAGGAAATCACCAGGACCAAGCGCAGGGCGCTCCGACTCTCGATCGACAAAGTTTCTTACCAGAGCTGCCTTTTGTACTTTTCTAGCTTCCCGCAGTAAAGGTACTTCATGTGGAAACAGAACTTTCCATCTCCTACTCATTGAAAGGAGCATCAAAGGCAAAAGGGAAGTCAACTTTAGCTGATATATGCATAAATTGCACAAAAACCACATAATTATGCGTAGAACTACAAGTATAAAAACCTTCTGCACTGATTATCAGTTCGAGGAGCCAAACATGCTGCGATTTTAGACCAGCAATATCCATGTTCTGCTATTGCCGTCTCCAACATGGCATCCTCTTCTGGTGTCCACCGGTTCCAATTCAGAGACGGATCTAAACAATTGACCCATCTGCAGTCAGAAAACAGGTTTTTTAAATGCTGTCATATCAAAGGTATCTAAAGTAACATTAGGTCAAATCTGTACAAACCTTTCTCTACACTGTACTTGGGTTCGACCTGGAACAAAATCAGCTATCTTCATCCAATTTTTGGGGCCAAAGAGCTTCACAGCTACTCTCAAACGTTTGTCTTCATCTGCAGTCCACCTACCAACCCTTTGCCTAGCAGGATGGAGAGTTTTCTTCCATCTGCAAGTTTCATGTTCACATATAAACAACCAATATAATACACTTCCAAATGCTGTAAGCATGCTAATCCATTCAAACAGGTTCAAGGGGCTTGATAATTAGAATTTGCATCATCTCCTTGACATGGTTGATACTTTTCCAGTCAATTTTCTAGTCTGAAAATCGGGATGGACATAGAGTGGCATGACTGCTGGCACTGACATTTAACACTGATGAAACGTGCCAGGTGAAGATAAAACAGACATGTCGGTTCTTTGGATCAGTTGATTGCTGGAAAGAAGTGCAATATTTCAGACTACATAAAGAAGCACATGTAAAAGGAGAGATATTCACAAAAATTACATTGGGCCCCAATATCAAAAGGGCATAACAGTCCAAAAATGTTGAGAAGGTGCACTAATGTATCGGCCAGACAAAGTTGGTACAGCAATATTTATTAACTTGCAAGCGACAATATACCAGCAACAGCAATTCCACATGAGTTTGAGGTCTCATCCGTAATGTTCTGGACTAGTGCCAGTTCTAATTATCCAGCAGCCTCTATTGCTCTCAAATGAGAGGAACGTATGCAAGAAGCTTTAAGGTTATAAGTAGGGAAAATTCATGCAATGTGGTGATGCTGCAAACAACCAGTAAACAAACCTAAAACTCTCAACAATAACACAGTTTCTGAATGGGAAGACTTTTTTGGATAAACACCCTCCATGTTCATAACCACGAGCAAGGACACCTTTTTTCCATCATTTCAGCTGAATCGTCAGATTTTAGTTTTGAAATAATCCTTTTTTATCACTTAAGTTTCTCTGCAGCTTTGCCATATTATCCTCTCTTCATTTGAGAACTCGCTATAGAATAAAAGTGACATGGGTCAACCCAAATAGATAAGACGGTAAGGAAAATTTGACAATTATTTTGAGAGTAATTAATCTCCTCGATATGCAAGCCATTTTTTTATGGCACAGAAAATACTTTACCAAATATTAATTCAGAAATCAAACGGATGAGAAACTAACCGATTGGAGCATTGAGTTCCAGTTCGTCCTTCCAAAGCAGAAGCTACAGCTTGCCAATCACTCTCACCAAAAATCTCCACTGCAGCACGAAGCTGAGCATCTTCATCAGGAGTCCACTCACTTTTCAGTATGCAAGGATTTAAGCTCCTTTGATAGCGGGCCAAGCATTGAAATGGCGTTCTTTTTGTCCCTAAAGATACTGCTACCTCAAACCAATTATTTATCCCTTTTTCTTGGATGAAAAACAAAAGATGCTTATCTTCTTCAACTGTCCATTTGCCGTGATTGATCAAGGAGTCTTCCCAATTCAACCATCTGCAGTTCATATGAGCAAATGAGCAAAAGAAACAATCCAATTGTCAACAGTCATCATGGCTCAAGGGAAAGAACATTGTAATGTCCCACATAAAGTCACTGATCACCAGTCATGCACACTGCATAGTGGACCCCCTGAAAGATTCTCAAATTGCTTCACATGTCTCTAAAAGGTTCCGATATGCCGGTTACAAGTGCTAAATGGCAAACAGTTTCTGAAGTTATATACAGTTTTCTCTAACAGGTGTTACATACTGAGTTAATTATTGTGTATCTACATGGCTAGCTTTATGGCGTAACACAGGTGCTCAGCAGACAATTAGCAAAGAAATTCAAACGGAATCAGATAAATCAAACTCCACATCATTTTACAGACCTAGTGCAGAAAAGGACCAACCCAATATACTTAATACTATCGAGGGGCTCCTTTTTTTTCCCATATAACAGGAGTTATTCAGATTGATTTTTCCTAGGTGAAATATTTTCAACCTGTACCTGTCATCAGCTGTATCACCATTAGAGATAGCACAGAGTCATCAAGACAAAACAAGTTTAAGGTACATTGACCAAGTTTGGTAAAGATGGATTTCTGCAATAATTCATGACTCAAGTCAAATCCTAACAGCATCGGCGCAACATATCTGCTTAAAGTTTTGTAAGGCCAAGACTTATGCTCCTGCAAAGATTGGTTTGTGTCCTCATCTATTAGTATCAGTTGTCTATTGCAATTTTAATAAATTCCTTTTCTAAATAGAGAAGTTATCCACATTTCCCATTTCAACTTGTGTAGAATTTCAGAATGGTCTATATAGACGTAATTCTTCCTTAATGATAAATAAATTAATTTAAATAAAAAATTGTCTGAAGCAATCGTGTTCCTAAAAGTGGTGACTATGAAATCCAGGTGTGAGTTGGCCAAATAAAAAAATAAAGAACTTCAGCTTTGATGTTTAAAGGTTTTTAACTTGACGCTTTAGTGCAATTTCTTCCTAACTTCATTACCATGCCTATGGACTCTTTTTTCAAATCCCAATCTCAATCAGGCTCAGATCCAACTTTTTTCAAATGCAGAATTAGCAAAACCTGCCGACTATCTTTTACTGAATTCAGAGTATAACTAACAAACAGACAAAAATAACCACCTATGCTAGAAATCCAAATAAAACTGCATGACAAAAGTTTTGATCGTATGAATTGCTTACCTTGCCTCACATTCAGCACCAGATCTACCCGGAATGTACAGGGAGGCCAACTGATCCCAATTAACCTTTGGCAAAAATTCTCTGATACTTTCAGGAGTGATATCAAGATCTCTAATTGATAAAAGTATATCTTCGAAGCCATATTGGTCTCCATCTGAAGCACTGTCAGCAAATGGAATCAGAAAAAACAATATCAACTATAAACTTAAAAAAGACAGTGAAAAAACAGAAGTTATAACTGCGGAGATTAAATGCTTATATCTAAAATGAAGGAAAGAAAATACTCTTTTTGACAGGCGAGAAAATGTATTTCCATATACACCTAAAATTGATCTCCTCAGTTCAAGGGTAGCTTTATTTCTAATATCTAATTATGGAAGCCATTTAAAATTTCATCCACCATCAAAAAGATTTTCCTTTTTGGCATGTCGTCTTTTGGCATTGTCGACACTGCCTGAGGCATGATTTTCCTTTTGGGCTTTTCCTTCCATGATCCAAAAAATTTGGGTGAAATAGATCAGTTTGAACCATCGGTTGCCTTTTACCTATCATAACGTCAACATTCTTTTTCTGAATGACATTCTATCAGACAAGCAGTGTTATTGCTAGATGTACCAGAGAGAAGAAAAAACCCAAAAACTCCTTCATGGGACTTCCAGATAGTACTCAATCCTATCTACAGTTAGAGAACAACTCTACAAGTCAATGCTACAACATAAGAACTTAATAACATTATTGACCACCAAGATGCAGCCTATGTTATTCTAACATTATTCCCATAGTTCAAAAGAAAGATACTTCCATAATTTTTTTGTTGTTGGGGAAATCAGAATGTTTTCATTGATAGCAGAATTGTTGGAGGCAATATATATCAACTCTACCAACAAATATTCCATGCATTAGGTATAGATGTTTATAAAGACCTATCCAAAAATGGAACCAAGTGTAGGGGTATTTCCATAAACAGAATAGTTCAGCTGATGCCAAAATGAACTCATCTATAACATGAATGAAAACAAATGATTGTGAAACAATTGACAAAAGAAGTGCAGACATATAACAAAAGGCATAAACATAAGCAATTTTACCTGAATCGGTCCAAGCTAATTTGAAGCAATGTTTCTTGAAATTGTTGTTTTATTCCTTTTCCAAGATTTTCCTTCTCTACCTCTGACCATTTGCTTCGCTGAAGCGAAAGGGGAAATCTCGTCAATGCCATTCTATAACTAGAGACATGGGAATGCTCAGCTGGCCCGTAATACATAGCAGAAAACTTTTTATCGTTGACCTGCAGAATCAGAGTGTAGCCAAATGAGCAGAAAGCTACAATTATCAAAACAATTAAGAACATCAATGCCACCAATCTCACCAGCTCCCTAGGACTGAAAGTACTACATCTGCAATAGTTAAGGTTGAAAAATGCTAAAGATCATTAATTAGAAACATCCTATCCACTCACAAGTTCACAACACTTCAGCAGTCAAAAAGCAAGATTACGAAACTCAGTACCTTTGAATCCTTAATAGTCTTCCGTGCTGATATAAGTTGAACACGGGGGTCCTTCTTCTGGGATAATGCCTTCCCAGTTCTCTGTCTGCAAGAAACCTGAAAATCTTTAAGGATTTTGACACGTTCCTTCAGCTTTTTGATCTCCTCGATTCTTGCTTCAATCTGAATTAACTTACTTCGAATAAGCTTCTGACATGACCTGTTCTTCTTAAGGGCTTCAACGAATATCTGGCCAGATTTTGGGAAGGAAGAATATTTGGCCAGCCCTTGCTGCTTTCGAGCTGGCGGGTGCCACTCTATGAAAGCAGAAGGTTGGTGCTCATCTTTATTCAATGTCTGACTGCTGTCATGAGTATCCTCATTATCTGGAAAAACTTTACAACCACCAAAGATATTTACAGGCATAGCATTGGACATGCTACCAGCGCTAGATAAGCCATTCTTGCTGTTCTCCGTGTTACCTGCATGTCAGATGGATATAAGAAACAAAACACAGAAAAAACATGTGAAACGGAAGTTTCTGATCTGATCAGAGATTCTAAGAGGGTTCGATGATGAATAAAATCAACAATGTATAAATGCGCATGTGCACAAACAGATATACCAACAATTTGTAGATATCTCCATTTCCTAGCAACTCTTCCACTTTCTAAGGGATTCAAGCCCACATTCTCCTAGCAAAGGGCGATCAGGAGTCTTTGTATCAAAAAGAGAGCTTATTATCTCCACAATGTTGATTATAAAGCAAAGGGCAAATAAACATGCCCGACGTACTTTTATTTCCCTGTGCCAACAATTATAAGTTGTGTGATCGGAACCTTTTTCTAATCGTAGTGGCCTACTCAACAAAGAACTCGTTGAGCTCATTACCTAACTACAGCAAGCAGATTAATAGACCCTCTAAAAGTATGAGATTATGCGAACCATCGTACTTCAAGTTCAGTTTTATAATATTTTAACTGTAAGGAAAGGAGCACAAGCATACAGATATCTTCTTAAAGCATGATTAGAGAAATAAAAAAGATCTTAGGTCCACACTATCTAAATTAAATTATAGACCTTCTGACTTTATTAGAGATTTGCAACTCAGCTAGAGGAATCAGGTCAGTACCCTGTCTGCAATGGCCACAGAAACCTCGTTGTTCGGATATTCAGGATGTTCCGCAATCTAATGAGGACAAGTCCATTCCATGTACTTACTTGCATCTTAACATAACTGGAAAAATCAGCGTAACAGCAGAGAACAGCAGATTAGTTTCAAATTCTCTTCACTTTACAAACACTGAACCCAACAAAACGAATCAAAGAGTTCTGCTCTCGTGTTTCCCATACAGCTGAGCGCTTTCTTCCCAACAATCCAGATCGATCAGAACATTCACTGTCAGCGATCTAGAAGGTAATATATAGGTAATGGAAGAACGTTCTCGAGATGCTACTGGCTCAATGCAAACAAGAATACACTACAGATTCAAATCACTCATAAAAAAACGAACTTCAGAATCTTCCAAACCCGCAAAATAGGAATTATGCTCCTCTTAACGCAAGACAGAATGCAAGAACAACAAACTTGAAGGTTTCATCGAGCATATTAATGCGAATATGCATCATCTAATCACGTTGAAGACTCGAAGCTACTTTGATCTACGTACTTCATCTAAAACTGCTGATTTGCGTAGTGTGCAAACCAAAGTGCGACATGCATTGTGATGAGAGTTTTTTGTGCACTGATAAGTTCTCAGAGTCGCCAAACACATTGGTTTTACGGGAGAAAAACTCAACACTTCGTATCAATTCGTCATCTCGAAAGGACGTCATTCATCCAAACAGCAGAGCACTACCCACATTCTCATCGCATGACGGGACACTTACTGTGATCATATGCGCAGAACCGCTTCTGAATCGCGCGGAGCGTCTCGAAGTCGTCCTCGTCCTCGTCGGACGTCGCCGCGGCGGCCGGGTGGAGGGACGCCAGGGGCTTCAGCGTCAGGGGATTCGCCAAGTCCGCCGAGAACCGCTCCTGCAACCTCCTCACCAGCCCGAGATCGTCGTCGTCGTCGTCGTCGCCGTCGGAATCCGGCGCCGCCGAGCCGAGGCCGCCGGCGTCCGCGCCGGCGAGGACGCAGGCGCGCCTCAGGGCCTCCATGTCCTCGTCGAACAAAGCGTCGCCGCCCTCGCTGCCGCTCGACACCTCCTCCTCGTCCTCGTCGTCGTCCTCGTCGCCGCCGCCGCCGCCGCGGCCGAGACAGTGCGACATTCCCGGAGGTCCTAGGGCGGAAGCGGCGGAGCTCGGCGGGAGGATGCGGAGCCTCGCCGCCGCCGTGCGGAGGCGCCGATCGATGCGGGGAGAGTTTGGGAGCGGGCGAGGGTTTTGGAAATTTGGGTGGGGGGGGGGGTGGGTTTAAGAAAGCTTCTTCGCGCTTGAACGTGAACGGAGATCGGTGTGACGACGGTGGTGGATGTTGGTCGCTGAAGAAAGAGGAGGAGGAGGAGGAGGGGTGCGGAGCCGACTTAGGAAAAGCGGGCCGAAAGATGGGCCCATCTGTTCATGGTTTGGGCCTCAATCACATCCGGCCCAACATTGTGTGATGGCCCGCCAGTCCCAAATAATACAGGGGTGAGCAACCGGGCCGGTTCACAAGGGATCGGTCCGGTTCCCGGTTCAGTTCCAGGTCCTACACCTTGAACTAATCGATTTCACCGGGATCGGCTGGTTTTTGTTAGAATCGAATTGGTTTCGAACCGATTTATTTCTAATCTTAAATAATTTCTTTTACTTCTTTTTTTTTAAATAGAAAATATTTGTTGAAATTGAATATGTTTGTCATGTTATCGTCAAATTAAAAAAAGATTTATTTCATGTTTTGCACATGTATAATATATATGATAAAATTAAAAAAAAAGGCCCTGGCCGATGTTCGAGTTGACTTCGAAACCGATAAGATGGTTTGGTTTCAGGTCGGTTCCATGGCCAACAGGGTTGGTTCCGCGATAAGCGATTCCTAAAACTCGGAACCGATCATGACAAGATAAGTTCCAAATTTCAAGTCTAGAATTAGGTTGCGCATGGCAACCATTTTGTGCCCGGGAACAGATTCTGGTCAGAAATGATTTTTTTTAATTCTGTGCCCGGGAGCTGATTCTGAGCATTTGAAGGTGTTTGGTAACGGCCAAAAATTTCTATTCCTGAAATAGTAAAAGAACAGAAATGCGTTTGATAACGGCATAAAATTTCTTTTTATTAATAATATTTTAATAACATTTTAAATATTTTAATATTTCTTTCTTTTCTTTTTTTCTTCTCCTCCTTCTTGGCCATGGCCGATAAAAAATTTCTTTATTAATAATACTTTTATTAAAATTTTTTTTTATTATTTTTGACCATGGCCGGTAAATTTTTTTTTATTAATAATAATTTTTTCTTTTTTTTGGCCATGGCTGGTAAAAATATTTTTATTGAAAATATTTTTTTTATTTTTTTTGGCCATGGCCGGTAAAATATTTTTTTCCTTTTTTTTGGCCACGGCCGATAAAATATTTTTTTATTAATAATATTTTTTTTTCATGACCTAGTCGCTGGCCATGGTTGGTAAAATAATTTTTTTTTGTTCATGACAGGTAAAATATTTTATTATTAATAATATTTTAATCTCGCTAGATACGGCGAGGGTGGCCCTCGCGCTGGACATTAGAAGCTACATTAAAAATCAAGAAAAAGAAGAAGAAAAAAAAATTGATTCTCATTTTTGTTTCTAGAATCAAGAAGCTACTTTTTTTTTATTCTTGATTTTGCTCCAAAACTGATTCTGGGCGCAAATTTGCAAGAATTTGTGCTCAGAATCAAAAAATTTAACAAACGGATTTCTGTTCCAAAACTGATTCTGGGAACAAAAGAACAAAAATTTTTACTATTTGGCCAGTTGCCAAATAGGCCCTTAAACTTTCTCGAAACCGATCACCTCGATGGCCCTAAAAACTTGATGGTGTAATTAATTATATATGAAAAACTTGCCCATCCCAATAATGGCTAAAAAAAAAAAAAGCTCTAAAAATAGTGGCGGATAGAGGAGGCGCGAATCCCAGCTCAAAAAAATTTAAACGCAAGTCGCGGTAAAACGGCGTCGGATTTTCGCACCCGAAAAATCTGTCTTCTCCTGTCCACTCAGCTCTCCTTTAAGTCACGGACCAATAAGCGCTTCGCTTTTCACCTCCAGGCTCGGCCCCGCAACACGTGGCGCTTCGTCATTTGTCGGGTCAAACGAAGATCGTGACAGCCGCGGTTCCTCAACCCGAGAGCATTTCTTTTTTTTTATTATTTCTTTTTTGACGACATTCGTTATCCTTCCCGCCATTTTCTCTGCTGCCGCCCCCCGGCGAAAACGAAACCTGGGAAAATCCAAAAAAAAAAAGAACAAAAAAAGCAAGAGTCAACGGATGAAAACCAGCCTGTAATAAGGAGGAAAAACAAGAACTCCGAGATCAAGAAACCCGAACGAAATCTGGAGGAGGAGGAGGAGCAATGGGGATCAAGGGTCTCCTCAGATTCATGAAGCGCTACATCGAGCCGATCCACATCAAGAAATTCGCTGGCGAGCGCGTAAATATCCGGAAAACCCGATTCTTGACGATGGGTTTCGCATGTTCCGTTGTCAATGATGTTCCTTTTTTTCTGTTCTTGGTTCTTCTTTTGCAGGTGGGTATTGATGCCTATTCATGGCTTCACAAGGGAGGTGCGGTGTGATTTTGCCAATGCCCATTTGGTTTTACTTTCTTGAATTTTGTGTATTTCTTGAGCCATGTTCATGGCAATTGGATGGTTGGGGCGGCTGAAAGATCAAAACTTTTTTCTTTTCCAGCTTATTCGTGCAGCATGGAGCTCTGTCTCAACACGGATGGGGCCAAGAAGTTGCAGTACTTGAACTATTTCATGCACCGAATCAACCTGCTTCGCCACTATGAAGTGACTCCCGTGGTTGTGTTTGATGGGGGGAGCATTCCGTGTAAAGCTGCCACTGAGGAGGAGAGACAGAGGTCGGGTCTTTGGTTTACTCGAATGTTTGGTTATGAATTTTTCGCTTTGACGGTGATGATTGATATGATTTGCTCACGCGGCCGTTAGATTGTGAAATGTGTTGATGGGTTGACTGTTGTGCTTCAGGAGAAGGAAAGCTAATCGCAATCTGGCCCTGCAGAAGTTTAAAGAGGGAGATGTCCAAGCTGCCTCAGAGCTCTTCCAGGTACCGACAATCCATTCATTGATGATCTGGTGCAAGGTTTGATTAGGGTGGTTTTATCAGGAGTTGCCCCAACTTTTTGCTTAGCTGTCCTGTAACTAGTTTTATCTACAATGCATTTGGTGATGAGGGATAGTCAAGTGCAATTAGTGCAGTTCATCGTGAGTCGGCCCTCTCCTTTCTTTCCCAATACAATTATTCGTTGTATACGCTATAGCTCGAAATAAGCAGGTCATTTGGGCATTTCAGCTATTTGATTGGCCAACAGAAGTACAATTGAACTCGTCATGCTTCCGTCAATCATCAATATACAATTCTCAAGGCCAAGACACTCAGTATGCATTTAAAGTAGCAGGCAATCTGAATGAAATTTTGTTACATAAGAAACTGCTATAACTTTGGTATTGTACATTTTGGCAAAGTGAGTGGCACAGAAGGGCCAATGCAAACCACCGTATGTGAATGTGATGCTGTGAAATGCAATTGTTAGTCTAAGAAGATGCAAGTTCTTTGCGTTAAAGTATTAGGTATCAAACAGTAACTCCATCTGCTAGTTTAAACTTTCATATAGATTGGAAGGGGCTTCTGAAAAGATTTTATGCTTTATCCACCTAAGAGGCAAGAACGTAGTCTGTCGCCTGCACAGTCAAGTTTTAACCTCTTGCTCATTTGAATGGTGCTGGGTCTCATAAAAAAACACTATCTTTTGCAGAGAGGAGTGAGTATTACCCCGTCCATGGCACATCAATTGATTCAGGTACGTGATTACTACACTATTGATGCATCTTAATCATCTGTCATAAGCTCTCATTGCTTTTAAGTTCAGAATCTGGGAAAGACCTAATACAAATGAGTGATCCGAACCCTCTATTACTAATCTTGCAAGTCTCTCCATTGGTGGGTTTCTAGATATTGAAGTCGGAAAACATTGAATTCATAGTAGCTCCTTACGAGGCCGATGCACAATTAGCTTATCTCTCAAGTCTTGAAGCAGAGAACGGTGGAGTTGCAGCTGTTATCACAGAAGACAGCGATCTGGTAGCATATGGTTGTCAAGCTGTAAGAAACTCTACAGAAAAGTCATACAATGTGAATAAATATCCATCATTCTTGCTGCGGCTTCATCTTTTAATAACGGGTCTTGTTTTCCTTTCATCTGCACCACCTGCAAACAGATTGTATTTAAAATGGATAGGTACGGCAACAGTGAGGAGATGTTGCTGCAGAAGGTTTTCGATTCCACAATTAGTACACCTTCCTTTCGAAATTTCGACATGGCATTATTTACCGGTGAGTTACTACCATTTACAGGCAAGTTTGGATTTAAGATTGTATCAATATCGTTAAAGGCAAGATAAAAATTTGAAGTTGAAGTTTAGCACTACAAAGAGATGATTGCGTTTCCATTTTTTGTTGGGCATTTTTGTGCCTGGTATAATCTCCGAAAACCAATAAAGTTCTTAATTTCCAGAAATGTAAGTGAGCAAGAGTTTTAATTCTCAACGCTTCTATGTGGATGAGACTTAGTCCCGATAAAGAGGATCAATTTGAAAAAGGAAATGCTTCATGTCCCTTTGCAGGTATGTGTGTCTTAGCTGGCTGCGATTTCCTTCCATCTGTTCCTGGGATAGGGATAAAGAAAGCTCACTCTCTGGTTTCCAAGTATCGAAACATGGACCGTGTAAGTTCTCTCTTTGCTTCTCAAATGGCAATATAGCTCACTTATACTCATAATTCCAAATGCCCATATAATCGAAAATGCATGTAGAGAAGTAGTTCTAATAGGCAAAACATGTCCTTGACATGATCGTAAGCATAAGAGTGCAACATTATCAAGTTTGAAGCATGTATTTGTAACTAATAGCCCTGACAAAATATTTAAGCTTCCAGAATAGTTATGGTTAAACTCCACAGGGGCTGTTCTTTTACAGGCGTTATCAGTTCTGAAGCTTGAAAAGGGAAATCAGATGCCTGAACATTATTGCAAATATTTCCACGAGGCAGCAGCGGTATTCCAGCATGCTCGAATGTAGGCGAAGCTCCCAACTAAGCTTCATTTATCTGTATATTATTGCAGTCCTTTTCATGTACATAAGTAAACTTAGTTTGCTCTCAATACAGATATGACACCGTCACGAAGAAACTCAGACACTTGAGACCTCTTTCGGAAAAGCTCCTGGAGGCTCTAGATGGAGAGCTAGATTTCCTTGGACCGTATCCTCTTTTTGCATATGATTGTAGAATCATTCCAGTTTCATAAAAAGATAAGAACAGCCTACTTAAAAACTTTTTGGAAGTTCAGTGAGACCTATGAGCCCTATTAGAGTGTGCCAATAAATGTAATTTTCTTACTAATCAAACAAAAGGAAAAACTGTAATCTCTTTAACCATCGGTCATAAAATAGAGACATCCCTCCATCAATAGCTATTGCAATTGCGGAGGGAAGAGTGGACCCGTCAAACATGGAAGCATTTGATAATTGTCAAACTTCTGGATGCCATGTGCCTATCGACATCATACCAGCTTCACGTCAACATTGGCAAGATGAGACTGCTGCTTTATCTGCAGAGAAAGACTGCTTCTTCGTCAACATCTCAAATGAATATATGAAAGCAGACTTCACAGGTGGACTTGCAGAATGTGTATCTGTTTATATATTCATGTGCTTACCTGATTCAAGCAATTATCTACCATATAGGATTGAGCATCTTTAGCCTTTTAAATTATGCGTGAAATGCATGTTTGTCTCTCATACTTGTCTTGTTGGTTCACAATTGTGATGCAACTTTCACCTATGATGACTGCATAATTGGTTTGTGGCATGTACAGTGATGAAGGAGGGGCTCAATTTACAGGAAAGGAAGTTTAGCAATGAAGCAGCTGCGCTTTCGAGACTGATGCTACCGCCAGAAACCTCCAGAGCTGCGGGGAGTGTGGCGGTTTCTGAAAGCATGTCTTTTAAGATGCCTGACAACAATCCTTTCAAAATAAGAAAAGTCGGTAAAATTCACTCAAGTCCAGTGAAAAGCGAAGACGAAGTTTCCCTTCTGATAGACGTCGAAGAATTGGATTTGCTAGTTCCAAGTTCCAATGAAGTTTCATTAAACATGTCCGAAAACAACCATTACATGAAAAGAAAGCGGAATCAAATTCGCTTTGATCTCAAGGACGGTGATACTGAACCATGTTCTGTATTGACTGAGGTGGGAAATTCAGGCATCTTGTGCAATGCATTAGCATCTCAGGAGAGCGTAACTTCTACTCCTAACTGCAACACTAGTGAAAACAGGCTAGCTACACAGATAAAGAAATTGAAAAGAAGTAACTGCAAGGGTTCAGAAAACAGGACTAGTATTTTGAATTATTTTTCTCGTGTATGATACATTAAAATCTTTTTCCCCAATTGAGCTATTTTGACACGAGGCTTTTCAGTAAATTTTGCTTCACTTATTTTTACTCATGAATCCTCTAGCAGAATAGATCAGAGCAGAGCCATTACCAACAGTGCAATGTTAATGTAGAAGCCAGAATTTTATGGATAAAGGAGTGAAATTGCCAATGAATTTCAGTTAGTTCATAAGTTTTTTCTCATGTAAAGGTTACTTTTCTCGATTCCTTTTCTACTGTAAGTACGTCTGAGGGGACCTTCATTCATGAGCTTAAAACTATCCTACAAGTCGTCTGCCCAATGGCATTGCTCCGTGCGTGTTAACTTCGCGATTGACTGATTAGTAGATGCCAATCATTCGCACATCCTGATTAATTGGTAACCAGTGCGTTTAAAAGTTAGACTCAACTCTTGAACTGGTGCACACGCACATCAAGAGTTGATTGTTCATCTCTTTCCTTCTGATAAGGTATTTATTACCATTTTGAGCATCTAGAGAAGGCAGATGATGTTCTGTGAGCACACCGTTTGAAGATTCCAAGGCATCTTGCAATCAGCTCTTACTAGATGGCATGAATGAAAATTGAACATGGCATTTGTCATGTGTGCAACAAATGTGAGCTATTTACAATAGCCACGCAGAAGATTTGCCTTTGCATTTCCTTGAGCAAAAGCTTAACATTCCATGAAATCAACCGTTCTTGTGCAGTGCAATGCCAGTATCCATTAACCAAACTTCATATTTTGTCCTTCCTGTGTTAGAAATTCTGTAGGACAATCATAATGTTGCTACTTGTCCAAACTTACGTTTATCAGCGGAGTAGTTAGAGTGACTCACCAAGTGATTCTCGATTCAAAAACTTGCAAATTATCAGCATTGTCATGAGACATTTATTACACTGACCCGCCTTAAGGTCAAATTGGTTGGCACCCTATTTCTACTAAAAGAAAGCAAAACATAGAACCCAAGTACGAAGAAAACAGCAGAACCTTACAATTCATGATGACAAGCACTTCATGATTGACATCATTTATCCTCTTCTAAATTCTAAACAAAGGATAAAAACTCATCTTTGAGTCACCTCAGTTCTTTTTTCTGGTGAGCAGCTGCTTAAACCAATAGGCCGACATTTTCGGGTATCTCTTGAGGTTGGTATAGTCGACATAGACAATCCCGAACCGTGATGTGTAGCCCAACCTCCACTCGAAGTTGTCGAGCAAAGACCATGCGAAGTAGCCCACTACATTGGCTCCCTCATCAGCAGCCTTCTTCAGTTGGGTTAAGTAGCCCTTGTAGAAGTTGATCCTCGTGGTGTCGTGCAGTCCTTGAGAAAGCGTGACATTGCCCGGGTCATCCATGCCTAAAATTGTAAAATAAGCAGCAGAATATTTAAAGTACTACAATTACATGCTAGAAGACGATTAAAATACTTATTGCACAGAGATGTACCGTTTTCAGACAGAATCACGGTGGGGTTCCCGTAATGCTCCTTGATGTACATCAGAGCTTTGTACAAACCCCAGGGTACATTGTAAAGCCAGTAAGAATGTGCCTGCAATGATTTCAATGCGCCGTTGGTCACATGTAAATTGCATAGATCAATGGATAAAACAAAGAGCATGACCATAATTCAAACAGAGTGAATGTGGTTCTTACTCTTGGACCAATAGGCACTCCATGTCTATTATCTGCAAAAAATTCAAGAAGATATTCTCTCAATACACAATCACTCCCAATGAGGTATAATGTACATGCTATTCAACTATAATGAAAGAATCAAGTATCTTACAGGCAAATCCGGCGTTCCAGTCCTGCTGATACCCTGGGACTTTAGCTTTCGGTTGGTGGGGGTCGTACATGTAGTAAGCTGTGTATTGGTTAATACCGACAAAATCCATTGATCCCTTCACCGTCTTAACATCTTCTTTTGTGAACTTTGGCAGCCTGTCCCCAACAATTTCTTGCATCGTCCTCGGGTACTCCCCATACACAATAGGATGAATAAACCTACATAAAGAAGATGCGACATTAAATTTTAGCAATCTATGACTTATACAGGTTGCCTCAATGGGGAATGCTATCAAACCATGTAAAACTCAAGTTCTGAATGCACATTAAATGTGCTGAGAGTTCTTGATCAGAATCCACCCAACCAAAATGATTCCAAAGGGTAAATCCAGTTTAAGCAACATTGATCGGCAGTACTTTGACAAGATCTTCTAAGATGCAAGTGGCATTATTACCATCCAACATGAAAGTCCCTAGCTCTTTGAGCTGCATAATTGTCAGCCTTCGATCTGGTAAGAGGCTCGTACCAAACGAAATCCAAAAGAATACCAATCCTTCCCTTTTGCTTCTCCTGAAATGCGCACACATTCACCATTCAGACAAAGTCGAGCTCAAATAGATACAGATAAACGCTACTCCTTGGCCAATAATAGCTTAATAGCGAAAAGAACATAGATGAAATCGTATCCATACTTGGTAATTTTCTCTATATCTCTGAACCGCTGCGGCATGAGACAGGATCAAATGATGGGCCGCGATGTATGGCTCTGTTCCTGAGTTTCCAGCTGTGCAGTTCCCATAGGCTTTCGAGCACCTCCCGGGAGCGAATAACCCGTTATCGTATCCGAGAGCAGCCACCACTCTCGGCTCATTGAAAGTCATCCAGTTCTTCACTCTATCGCCGAATGTCTTGAAACAAAAATCGGCGTAATCGGCAAAATCTTTCCTGCATGGTCAATGTAGCCCTAATCAAATCCTAATGTAGCTAAACATCCTTTGTTCATCAAGTTGGATACGGTGCCCCTGATAATACTTACACTACATTAGGACTCAACAGTCCCATATACTTCTTCTCTAAAGCCTCTGGAAGATCATAGTGATACAGATTTGCGTATGGTGTGATGCCTGCAAAGAGATAGTCCCTTGGCTCATATATGTGCTCATTTCACAGCTTAGCATAACATACCACGATTGTCTTAGTAATCGATATTGTGAAATCGAGACAGATTTTTGAACTCTTTTTCGGATTCATTTATCAATCTACCTTTCTTAAGCATGTAGTTGATCAACCTGTTGTAGTAAGCAACTCCCTTCCAATTCACCTTCCCGGTTCCATCTGCATTATGTCGAACATCACGTGTTACACCAACTACTTGTTTGGCCGGGTCAGCTCCAAAGCAATAGGAACAAGAAATTTGCTATTACCAGGGAAAATCCTCGACCACGAAATCGAGAAGCGGTAGGCGTCGAAGTTCAGCTTTGCCATGAGATTTATATCTCCCTGTGACAGCATGACAGGATAGATTTGTACCGAAAACATATTGGATACATCCATAAGTGGGAAAAAATTAATGTAGCAATTTCATCTTTCTTTATGTACAATACCGAATGGGTAGAACAACGCTAGGAGAGAGCTTGGATTATTAAGACATCACGTTTGACAAACCGTTTTTCTCATGAAATTGTCAAGAAGCAGGTCCACAAAGCAAATATATGAATGGACCATACATAAGAACTATAATAAACAACAGATACAATGTAAACCAAACAAAGCTTAGAAACATTAGGACACCATATATGTCTGAACAAAAAACTTTTGTTTCAGCCCACAAGAGACACAATATAAATCATAGATTCCTTCTGTCTTACATTCACACACCATACTATCTTTAAAAAGGGATCTTTTTGTCCCATCTATGTATGCATTAGCTCTTTTAGTCACGGTCTGATAAGAACCTTACAAACAGATAGCGACAAGGAAAGAAACAATCACCTTGTACCGGTGATATTGGTCCACTGAAACCTCCCCAGTTGCATTATTGGCCACAATTCCTGTACACATCACATGACCAGCACACTTCAACACCATAATCAACGTGACAACGACAAGCATCAACAGCAAAATGAGAAACCCAGGAAACTGTGATGTGTATCATGTTCTCTGCTACTGTGAGCAGGTTCGAACTCGTGACCTCGCAGTTGAAGATAAACATTAGGCCGCTACCTAGTGGTGTGTAGTATCTCATTGATTACACCAAGGTTCGATGGCCTTTGTAGTGAAACTACATTACTTCAACTGTCATCACCGCTTGATAAAAGAAGATTTGAAATTTGAGAAGCATCAACAGATGGAAATGATGGAAGAAGTACCTGGAATTTTGACGAAGACGTCCCAGATGCTAGGCCCGCGGCCTTCTTTGTCGGCCATGCCTTCGACTTGATAAGCCGAGGTCGCAGTCCCCCAGACGAAGCTCTTTGGGAAGGCCGACCGGCTCAGCCCGCCGGTGTCGAAACGCATCGTTTCGGGGATCACCGTCTCTTCCGCCATCGTCGACCTCGCCATGAGGCCCAACAACGTCCACAACAACAACAACATCAATGGCACTTGGATACCCATCTTCACACTTCAACACTCTCAAGAGAGAGAGAGGTAAAGAGTTTAGCTTTGCCTTGTGAAGGAGAGTGAGTGTTTATTTATACAGCAAGGATGGTGAAAGAAATCTTGAACGTTAGCGTTTCTACATCATCTGATCATCTTCGTCATTGCCCAAGACAAAAAGAAATCTAAACTACGATTTTTTCCTTTCGGTGAGAAATCCAAAACAACAAATGTGGGTCCCCCATTGACAAGAATTCAGGATGGTGGGTCCTTATGAATTCACTGATCGGACAGTGACGAGAATACCTTCGGTGTTATTTACCTTAGGATGATAAGGTTCGTTTCGGGATAGCAAACGTCGGACACAAGAAGCGATGCAGAGTTTGATCAAAGACATAGAACGTTTAGGTTTCTGAGGTTAAGTTGCACGTGAACTGAGCGACATGCAAGGGAATAAGCAAAGTGAGAACACCTAGTTCGTGACTTCGAGTGCGTTGCTTGTGTTTTACTCGATTCGTACCATTACTAAAGTATTTCATGTACCGGGAACTTATGTATCTAATGTTGCTAAAAGACAAATTTTAAGAAAGGACGATTCTGAGGATGTGAATCATAGCCATCCAGGCTGAGCTGTTGATTAGGGTTTTGGGGGAATGGGGAAAAATATAACTTAAGAATTGGATATTGCTAGCTCATAATCTCACCAAGCGCGTGCAAATTGCTCTAGGGTAGGGTGAGCTGCATAGGCCAAAGGTCTGGAATAATAGACTCATTGGACTTGCAGGTAGTTCCATAGGTCTCCATGTAGTTGGTTGTGACTTTTAAGAATGATTAACGAATTCCAACTTAAGAATTAGATGTTGCTCGTTCAAAATCTCACCAACCGCGTGTAAATTGCTTTAGGTCAAGGCCAGCTGCATAGGCTAAAGGTCTGGAATAATCGACTCGTTGGATCTGCAGGCAGTTCCATAGGTTTCCATGTAGCTGGTAGTGACTTTTAAGAATGATTAACGAACTAAATTATCAACATATCTAATGAATTTCGAGAGAATTTAATATGATTTTTTCGTTATTTTTCCATTTTCTACTGGTGGAAAAACGCCTCCTTGACAAAAGAGCAACCGGCCGATTGCAACTTGCATAAGCAAAAGAAGAAAAGATGAAAGGTTAAAGGAACTAACATTGATTTTCAACATTATTAAATGAATCCAACACTATATTATAAGTGAATGATTAGGAAGCGGGGCCATATTCAACGGCAAAGGACAACACAATATCTTCTCATGATCGCACATCGTCCTCTTCTCAAAGGCAAAGGACCTGTTTCTAGTCAGTCTTTCGGTCAACGATGGAGTGCTGCTCCCATGGACTCAAAAAGCTTCAAGTGGATGGTGAAAGAGGCCAAATGGTCCAACTGAGGGCAGACATGCCCTTGAAATTGAGCCCCCCTCCAAGCCCTAGAATGATTGCAGAAAGATAAATATCTTGCTCAGCTCCTTTGTCTCTTTGCTCATGTCCCGCATGAAATTCAACTGAAAAAGTATGCATGGGCCTCATCAGAAGAGCACGAGATTCCATGAAACTGACCAATTTCGAGTTCTGTCCACTCCACTCCAACACGCGTGTGGACCGTCTGGCGTAGATGTATGATTGGCTCGTTTCTTGATAATCAGAATTTTTAGAAAAAAAACCGTTTGTTTAACATGATACCGGTGCATAACAGGTCAAGAGTTCAAATGCCGACACACCGGTCATTTTGTTTCACCAGTCGTTTTGTTAATATGATTCCGTTCGTATCATGTTTTGCAAGTGTGACGATGGAGAGTGTTAAGTAATCCACCACAGATACCTTGTTGGCCTGTTTTTTAATAGCTTAAATTTTTAGGAGGAAAAAATGGCCCGTTTAACGACGTGATCGGGTGGCCGAAAAGCGTGACGAAAAGGGGGCCTAAATTTATGTGGTGATTTAGTAGATAATGTTGGGCTTTAAACGTGACAATTTGTGGAGATAGGAACAAAGAATATGACCAAGTTGGGGGAGTGGGAGGGATTTGGGGAATGGATATGCGGCTATTTGGATATGGGTTTTATCTTATCCACAAGTATTTATAATTATGATATTTCCTTTATTTTTCATATATCGTTCATGATTATGCATCTAAAACATCCTTTATCTTTACTTTTTGCATAAGGTTGATTGATCCTAATCGATCATTTCGTTACTATTATTTTTATAAATATGTGGTATCCCTCTATCTATTAATTTAAACTTTTGCGTTATATTTTCTTGTAGGATATCATAGCCCCTAGATTTCTTCGTTCGTCAAATTGCATGGGTCACTCATAAACCGGCTTGCAGATGAGGGAGGGTGATGAAGTGTCCTACATGGCATGACTATGAGGTTTATGTGCTCTTTAAGTTCACGTAATCTCCCTTCACCTATAAGCTTGGACTTTTTAACAATCTCCATGCATTTAGATTGAATTTAATTAAACAAAAATAAGATAGTTTTTTTTACAAGTTATTATTTTCTTGGCTAGGTGATAAGGGCAAAATTGGCACTTTTTAATTTATGCTTTTGGTAGAAAATCCTAGAAATGTGTGGACAAATAATCGATGAGACATAAGAATATTCCAAGGGTATGAAGTGACAAAGAATAATATCCCATATCAACTTGTTGACCAATATAAGAAAAAAAGAATAGATAGAAACTAGAGATTGAACCGTCAATAAATGATGTAAATTACATATCACAGCTAGGGCTGTCAAATTGGTGGATTTGGCTTGGGCAAGTTTGGGTGGGTCAAAAATGGTTTGATCAAAATTGATCCATTTATATGAAATAAAAATTTCGTGACCTATGCCCGACCCAACCCATTTACTAAATTACTTTTAGATTTAATTCAACCTATGAAATCCGTGTCAACTTATTTAACCCACTTTAAGCTCTTCATGTATATATTATTTTGAAAAAAATTTCTATTTCGACTATGAGATGTTAAAGAATTAGCTTTCAAAATTGCATAAAATTTTAAAATTTTTGTATTGATTCATAATGAAGAATAAGAAAATTAGTACTTGGTAGTGAATTGATAAAATTATAGCAACAAATAACGTGGAGGAATTGGAATTTTAATTACATGGAATGCAAGATATTGAAAAAGATGATTTATGCTGCATGGATTGCAACAACAAGAATTAAGATTAGAATATTACATAAAATAACAATGCCAAATGCAACCAATGAAAGATATACTCAAATAACTAATAGATGAAACTTACAAAATTAATAAAAAAATGGATAAAAAAAGAAGACGTCTAGATACTTTTAATAAGGGTGAAGTTGGACATCTTTCAGGCCCACCAAGACTTTTTTGAACTTGGAATAGTCCGAGAAGTCCATTGTTTTCTTATTGAGGGTGAAGAGAAAATCATAAAGGTGGGTTAAGTTTGGATAAATTGTGAACCCATTAAATATCAATATTTTTTTGAGTTTTGCCATTCTAAACCCATTTACCGATCATATCTAATATATATAATGACTCAACCTATCAAATATGGATTAAAAAATGGATCTATGATCCATTTTGATAGGTCCAATCACAGCTTAACAACTTTGATTCACTGCTCTTGTATTCTTCCTTCAAAGGGGTTACCCCTTATGGGGTAGCAACTAAAGTAAAAACATTTATTCGGTCACACTTCTTAAATTATCAAATTGACATCTACCCACAAAAGAAAGAACAAGAAATTTATGTAACATATGAATTCATTTTGAGGGAGTAATAATAATATTAGAAATGATTAAGAGATTCTTCTTATCTCCCTTGATTTGATGCACAATCAAGCGAGATATGGAGAATCAAGAGAAATATTGAGCATCTTAATTAATGTGAAGCACGTGCAGTCACGTGAGGGCGTGTGCGGTAGCAGAATTTGGCGGGATTTCAGGATTTGGGTCGTGTGAGGGCAATGACTTTGACGGTTGTGTTAGTTCTTCGAAAGAAATTATGTAAAATGACAGATCAACACTTAGGCAATGCTATGACCATTGTAGAGAGTTAGACATGAATAGCTTTGATACCAAGATAATAATATATGTAAGATAATTGTATAATTTCCGTGTATTGTATTACATGAAGTAACTACAAGTTTTCCGAGAATGACTATTTGTAAGATATTACAATATCGATTACAATCAAATATAATCAATAAAATATGCACAATTGAAGAAAATACATGCATATTTAAAAGAGATATAGAGAATCGAGGGAAACATGGAGAATCTCCTAATTATTTCTAGCAATAGCAATCCTAAAATCATATCATCTTTGATTGAGTCTTGTCCATCAAATAACTAGCTTCTTCAAGCTACTAGCTTCAACGGACGGATCATAGCGTTATCTTCATGATCAAGTATCTGCATTACCATTTCGAACACAATGCATTTAGTTTTTCTCTACGTCGACATATACTTCCGATTATGTATTATTAAAATAAGGCAAGTAATGAGAAAAAGTTGTGTCCGAGTCTTACATGATAGTGATACACGTAGTTAGGTTCTGTGGTGGTGTCGAACGGATAGGGCGCATCGTTCTCAATCAAGTTGAACTTGACCACGATTGTCGTTTGGTACCCGGGCTTGATCTTCACCGTGTACTTCCTTGTCTTTTGGTACGAAGGTATCTTGAGCGACTTTCCCTTTGTGTGGCCCGTCACGTCGCATGCGATTGCGTCGTTCTTCTTAGTCATGCACGACTTGAAACTATCCAAATCCAACATCTATCGCACTTTGATCGCTCGAAACGATGCGAGAAACGATGCGAGATGGATGTGCAGCGGTTGGTTGTCCTCCGTCAAGTTGATCACCTCCCATATCTCGGTGCTGCCGCTTTTATAAGTCTCGATCACCGGATTTGTCAGTCTCTTCCCGTTAATGTACAAATGGGTGGGATCTCCGGTTGCACTCAGATATTCATAAAGCTCTATGTACCTATGAGAAGGACTATTTCATCAATTGATCCAAAAATTAAGGAAATGACGATTAATCTTTACGTGTGTTAAGAATCACATGCATCCGATCCATGCGTCAACATTCAATACATTTTAAGTGAATACCTCTTAACAGTTGCTTTTCGGGTTGTTGAGTAGACCTTCA